GTAAAGGATTGCTGGGGTGGCTGGCGAGAGCTGCCTGTCATGGTATTTGGAGGATAAGCAGCTTTTCTCTATCCCCACTTTGGAAAGAGCTTACAGACTGCAGAGAAGAATTTCATTTCGCTATAAGGCAGGATTTCTTATCAACAATAACAATAATAATAACAACTATTTGTTGAGCGCCAGCTACTTCTGAAAACTGTGCGATGTGCAGAGAGAGAGAGAGAGAGAGAGAGAGAATATATAAAATAATCATATATGTGCTGTGTCATTTATACATCATATCATTGAATCTTCACTTATGAAACTGAGGTTCAGAGAAGTTAAGGAACTTTCCCAGCCTTAAAAATTGTTCAACCTTGGCATTGGTGACCTTAAGGTCAAAAACTAGAAGAACCGCCTAGAAGGTAGATGATTACTGCCAGTTTTAAATCAGTCGGGTAACTCCCAGAAAGACACCTTGATGTCAGTTCTGAGTAGTATTCAAGCTTAACCAAAGTCCTTATGTCTTTGGATCTGTTCATGGTTACATGCCAAGAGTGGCAACTCCCTGGTGTTCGTTACTGAAGCGATCAGATGCTGGCAGTGCAGAGTGGTGAGAAAGGGGCAGGGGAGGAACGTGACCCTAAATTTTTTGTCAGACAAAAAGACAAAGTGTGTCCAAATTTCAGTGGTACTGCTTCCTAGCTCTTCAACTTTGGGCAAGTTATTTAGCCTCTCTGAATTTGTTTTCTCATCTAAAGAATGCAGATGATGATGGTGATGGTGATGATGATGATGACACCACCCACCTCATAGGGTTATTGAAGTAAATGTAATAATACCTCATATTATAAACACAAATACCTGTTAGCTATAATTGATTGTTATAAATCTGTTAAATTACTATCCAGAGCTCACTACTCACTGAAAGTGAAGTGATGGGTACTCATACTATTGTATTTTTTTAATTCTTTGGGCAAATGGACATCTTTCTCATGACCATGATATCTCCCAAAATACAGGGTCTGGCAGAAGCAATGCCTGCTTGAGTGTAGCTGGTAGGGTAATAATATAGGTGTAATAATTTATAGTTTTAATTTGAACATTTTACCTAAAATGGTATATGGTGTTCTTGAGTGTGATGTTGTTATGTTACAGAATTACATGCTTATGATTTTGTAAACAAAAGTTTGTAATAAACAGAGGCATTATTTGCGCCAGACCCTGTAAGTCCTGAGAAATAAATAAGTGTTAAGAACCCATGTTCTTGTTCCGTTCATAACTAAAAGTAAAGAGCGGACCTTGCGCAGAAGGACATGGGAGGCTCGGTGATAGCCCAGCCCACGGCCCCCTCGGCGAATGAGCGACTCGCCTGGCGGGATCTCCTGACGCCCCACTGCCACTTGTCAGCTCCTGGAAACCGCAGGAATTTGCCTCTGCAGGTGTGGCGCTCCTGCTTGAATTACGTAGGGTGCATGAGAGAGCAAATTATTTAGGCAATAGAGCTGAAAATGTGGGCAAATTAGAATTTTTCATAGCAAGATTGTTCATTGTTAAGCCAATTCATGATTACCAGTGTGCGTCTTGCTTCAGATATTCCTCTGCACAATAAGCCTCTTTGCCGTGATGAATATGTATGCGGGCTAATTTAATCAATGCACTTGTGGCAGGGTGCTGTCTGACAGGACTCAGCCTTTGAAATACTGGCAGAGCTAATGTGTACGGTATATCTATGGGCCAAGACTCATAATTTGTGCTAAAAGATTATTTTGAAAAGACACAACACAGCCTGTTGGAAAAGGGAAAAGCCTACGGGATGGAAAGCAAAGGGCAAGGGGAGTTTTTTTCTTTTCACTCTTCTTGGACTGAAAACTCAAATGTGTGGAACTAAACTGCCATCCTTTTGAAAAAATGTGCATGCCAGTGACTACATTTCTTATTCTCACTGTTACAGGTAAACTCTGTAAAGTGACTGAAAGAGGGAGGGGGCGGCTCTGGGGCATTGTTGGAGTAAATGGAAGGCTGAGTGCCCTGCTCCAACCTGCAAATGTTTGCTTTCTGGAAATACCAACATGTGTGATCAGGTCACATTCAGAGTTTGCTTTCTGAGGCAGGTGGGTTTTAGTCATTTCTTAAAAAGCTCTTGTAACAGAGATTGTTTTCTGAGATAAGGTTGCCCGCCTCCTACCCCCAGGAGACAGGCTGGCAAGATAGTTTGATCTGACCAATCAGAATGCCCGAACCTTGCTCTGGAGAACACTTCCATTACTGTAACTACCACAAGCTTTCTAGTGGAGTTTCTTTTGACTAATCCTGACTTTCTGGCTACCATTGCCCACTGCAACTAAGCACAAACACCCTGGGAAACAGATGGCCTCCTGCCTGAAAATACAAGTCATCTATAGTGAGCATAGATGACTCACTGTCCTCCATAAATCTTGTGAAATTCATCTTAGCTTGAGTGTCTTACAAATTTGAAAGACCCTGGGAGCCAAAACAAGGCTGAAGACCAAGAGCATGGGAGCTTGGCTCAGGCCACCAGTCAGTAGTGGCACCAAACTCAGCGTTTGTGCTATAAGGACCCTCCCCCCGGGACCACCCCTATCATGAGCAGACCCCTCCAAGCTAGACCTCCATATCACTTGTGGGATGACAGCAGCCACTAGCAGGCATTCTTGTCACTGGCTTAAATGCCATCATTTCACTTCTTATGGGTAATCCACTGAGTTCAAACCCAGCTGAACAGCAATACATCATTTTCCATTTGAGCCAGATTCAGTTTTACTCAGCACTCCCATTATGGCTTGCTCAGGGCCTTCCTAGCTTATAAAGGACTAAACAGATGTGCTTGGTCTCCCCATTGTTAAGGTGGAATGAAGATAACTCTTGCAAGGCCCGAGTTTAGCACTAGTGTTGCTTTAACTGCCTCAGATAGTTTTGACGCTTACTTAAACTACAGGGCCTCACTAGGTTTGTCCATGTCTGATTTCTGTGATTACAGATTGAGATGAGACATATGCAGAAGCAGCTCAGTGTCAGTCTTCTTTATTCCACATATGAATTTTGTTTATTAAATGGTCCAAGTGCTTTGTGTTGTCTGACTATTCCATTCCTTAGGGGTTGGGGTGGGGGAAGCAGGTTCTCATTATAGACTGGTTAATTCATATGGGAAAATCCAGGCAATAACTGCTAGCTGATAAATCCTTTCAGCTACCACTTGGCTTTTGTAGGTCCCTGAAAAATGTTGAGCATTAACTCACTCTCTCTCTCGTTGCAGATAATCTGTAACACAAAACTTTGGCTTGACTATATTAAGAATATTGGAGGGACCATAGGTGTGAGACATTATTAGCTTTCAGATTTCACAGAGAATTTTCCTTGAAGAAATCAAACTAGGCGCTAAGGACAGGGAGAAGGATTTGGAGGTGGTCATTTTTTGTTCAGTGTGACCCTATAACATATTAATAAGTTGCACGACTCAGAAATAGGCATATTTGACAGTATACAAAGACACCATTATTAGAGTATTAAAAAGCTTCAGGGTTATGGAAAATATATTGGATGTGATTATTTCGAGCCGTCTCTAACTCCAGGCAATAAAACTCAGTGCGTCAATGCTAGAAGTGATAGATAGGAAAAGAGCTCTCTAGAATAGCTTGCACGCCCTGATCAATACTTGTATTATTCCCCTTGAAAGGAAGTTAGCAAGTAAACATGCTTTGTAATGAGATTAAATCCAAGAATTTCAACATCACATCACACGCAAAGTACATGTTGTGGAAATGACCCAGGGTGTGGGATTACAGTGGAGGGGAGAGCGGGCTGTATGTATGTGTGTGTTACTTATATCACATAACTACATCCTTAGACAAGTCATCACTCTGTGTAAGGCACAGGGCTGGGAAGGAACTATTTGAAAATGAAATCCACTTGGGCTCTTGTACTTGTGTTTGTATGTGTGATTTAGTAGATAATCTGATGTGATATCCAGTAGTGGAAACCATGCAAGTGAACTTAGCGTAATGGAACATACTAGGTAGACTGGTGAGCACTGTGGTCCGGTATATACTCTTCAGTGTTGATCTTTTTTTCATATATAAATCATATTTCATAGTTGACCCAAGTACTTTGTCATACCTAATTATTTCATTCTTAGATTATTTTTAAGTCCTTAATTATGCTATTTCCAACTCTGCTCAAGATACGATGTGTATGCTTAGAAGTGTGCTTTGTCATATCTGAGAATGTTGGTGTACTATACTCATATATTTCTGTATTTATTTGGTTGGGTTTACAGCATGGAGCATCTGCAAGTAATCAGTTGGATAGAAACATGGTCATGCTGTACCAGGAAATCAATTTCCAATGTAAAGAACTTAGAAGCCATTTATTCTATTTGTCAGGATTCATCATTATTAAAATCAATTAGGATATTAACTTTATGGTTGAAAGATTTTGGTGGTACACAAATGGACTCGTTTTTTTTTAACACATGGTAACTACGTTAATTAAAAAGGATAAGTAAAAATTCTTAACTTACCATCATATGTAACATTGATGTTTTGGATTGAATCATTTTCCTAAGTATTCTTAACCTTTTGGAGTATATTTTTCTCTAGCAGTCAAGCTAAAGTGCTCAGCCAAGACAGATTTATGACCTTTTAAAAATAATGATGGAAAATAAGATCGGAGGAAACATTTTAGTATCTACTTTGCTCTGAGGCCGAAACTGCGAAGTCTCCAGTTCTTGAAGGCTTTGAAATGCTGATTCCAGCCTTCTTGTGGGTCCTTAAACACCTTCTCAAATGACCCATTTTAATAACCCGAAAGCTATTATATAACGAGCAGCCATAATTTAGTCCAGGGCTCTAGGGGGACCCGTACAGTTCAGCAATGAATAGTTAATGCGGTATAATGTTTAGCAGGTTATTAGTTTTCACTATACAAATGCTGATCGGGGAACGCTTTTATAAGGTGTTTAAAAGAAAATGTAATTAACTGGTTACGTGCTTCTGTTGCAGCTCAAATTGAAATTATTCCATGCAAGATCTGTGGAGACAAATCATCAGGAATCCATTATGGTGTCATTACATGTGAAGGCTGCAAGGTAAGCCTTTTTAATTGCTCTTGTTTCTGTCAGTGTTAGAATGTGTCTTCGGAAGTCTTACTTTTTACTTATCTTACATTTAAAAATGCAGCTCCTGGGAATTTGGAGTGATGAGAAATGATGGGACAGAATATTTGGGGGTTGCGTTACAAGTAAAGAAGTTATGTATATTTTTTAATTCCTTCCATCAACTTAACAGGAGGCTTGAGAAAAGTGTTGGAGCATTGCTTGTTTGTCACTTCCAATCTCAGAGTTGATCGATCTGATGAACAATCTCTGTGGTTACCTTTTTAAAAAAGATCTGACTCTAGACTTCTATAATGTCCCTGTTACAAGCTTTATAAGAAGGCATTTGCAGGAAGTTTAATTGGAATATGATGGAAAGTCTTATTGTTGGCACACAGATGTTGACACAGCTGGCCAGATGATGGCAGCGCCGTTAGAGAGAACTGAGCTTTGGTCCTGGTGCCACCACTTGTCCATATTGCTTTGGGCATCTCTCAATACTTGAGTGGCTCAGTTTCTTCATCTATAAAGCGGGCACAACACCTGTTCTTCGTCTTTTTTTAGAACTACTCTCAGAAGGGAATGAAAAACTAAATAAAAGTCCTCATAAACTGAAAATTGCAGTTTAAATCTAAACATCATCATTTGTGTTGCTGTTGTGAATGTTTTAATTCTGACTGACTGCTAGTCTCAGGGCAATACGTACAGCACACGCACAGTAGGGCAATGGGAAATAGAGATGTTTATCCTGATCATCCAAGGCCCCTAAACCCAGATTGCCTCTGTTCTTCAAATTTCAATTTATAGGGATTTTACTTCTCCTGCTTGTATTGGAAGGGCCTTGAGACAGCTTGCAGGATAAAACAATGCAAAACAAACAGAAGAGCAGCTATGTAAATATGCTGAAGGCCTCCGAGACCGAGGATTGCCACTGAACCAAGCCTGAATGAGCCCTAAGGCATTTTGAAGATGAGGCAAAAAATAAAATCCACAAATGTGGGTAGCTCTCCTTTAGTGCAAGTAGAAAAGACAGTGTCATAAAATACAAAAATCACGTCCAGACACAAATAACTACTGAGAGGCTGCAGGGAAATTTGGCTCATAATTTCCTTAGGTCTTTGTTTTACTATTAATCATTATAACATTTGGCACTTGTACATGTACAAATGCTCCTTATTGAGCCCATCATGGTGAAACTTGAGATTTCTGCCCACCACCAAACACACTTCTTCTTTATTTTTTTAAATCACCAGCCTTTTAGGAATGGGGGCTTGCTACTTATAAGGGAATTGGAATGATCACTGTGGTAGCCCTCAATGCCTCAGCATTCTAAATTACCAAGGGGGGAAAAAACAGTTATGCCCTTTTACTTCCTCAGTCTGCCCTCCCTCAAAATTAATTAGTTAATTAAAATAAAACAAAATGAAATCAACTGCCTAGCCTATACCACCTCAGAGAGGGATCTGCTGTGACAGTGGCCACCCGAGTGCCATTCAGAGTTAATTTGGCTGACGTGGCTGTGCAGATGTGACACTTCTCTCTCATCCACTCTGTGTTCAGACCTTCCCAAAGCTGTGCCCCTGGTAAAAGCGATATCGCCTTTCTGGATGAGGACATGTAGACAGCAGTCCTCCCCCACCAGGAGTTCCAAGCAATGGTGATTTTTGTGCCCTGCCTACCACCCAGGTGTTTTCTTAAGGGGACAGGGTCCTGGGCATCAGCTGCTCTGCGTACCTTCCTCCTGCCCAGACACCTGCCCACTCCCTCTGCGTCCTTCAGGAATGCCACATGTGGTTTTATGTGGCAAACCGAAGTGAGTGTCTAAGAATGGGGTCTGGGAGCAGGGGCTACTTCCTGTGAATCACCCCAACAATTCAGAAGGTTAGTTCCCAATGTGCTGTTCAGTGAGAACCGAATCTACGGTCTGAGCGCCAGTGCTCGCACAGGCGTGAACACTGTGTGTTTTCTCCATACCCCCGATGCTTATGACAGAAATGAAAGCCGTAAAATAGCAAATGGCAGCTATTATTTCACAGTTGTCACTTTTCTGGATTCCCTTTCAGATCTTGCCCATGTACTGACTCAGTGCCAAAGTGGTTTTTGGTTACTGTGTTCCTCTATTCAAAGTCACAGAAACAAACAATTAACACTTAATTTTATTAACAGATTGGGCCTATGCCCAGCCTGGGACCTATACAATGGTATGTTTATATTTGATGTACATAGTATTTACTCTGCATAATAGTTTCTGTCCATTATAACTAACTTTTTTATTTCTAGTCGTGGGGAAGTCAGGAGCCTTCTGCTTTTGCGAGTGATGTTAATGATGTATCATGTTCTAACCAGGTGAAGGTGGTTATGTTATGACAAACTGTAAATAATTTATCTTGGTGTTAGTATCATTAGACATAAGGAAAATTTATAATTAGATATATAAATAGATATCTAATGAGAGGAAAGAAAGTGACTTAGTCATTTTCTATGCTAATCATTTTGTGAATGTGTTTTAAATTGCATTTAAAATTGACAACCTGAAACCACCAGAAACTAGAGAACCTAGTTCATTGCTGAAATGATTATGTTATCACCTATTGGCTCGGGTAAACATTGCCCATAAACAGCAAAAAGGGTAGACAGTGTAGTAGCTCTTTCTCTGGTGTCTGTATTCCCTGCTCACTGCTCCTGACCCCCGAGCCTCTTTGCAGAGAAGCAGTATCGGGTCATGCTGTGCTCTGACTCTGGAGCCAGACTGCCCAGGTTTGCTATTCCAGCTCTGCTATTTACCAGCGGTGAGCAACTACCCAACCTCTCTATGCCTCTGTTTCCCCGTCTGTAAAATGAGGATAGTAATCATAGTTAGCTTCCTAAGGTGATCACGTGCATTTCTGTGAAGCACTTAGAAAAGTGCCAGGCACATAACGAGCACTCGGTAAGTGTTAGCTGTTGTTATTGCCATTCCCGGCCAAACTCCTAGTGCCTGAGTTATGCTGTTCTGAGTAGTCAGATATATTTCAGGTTATCCATGGGTCCAGTCCTGATTTTTGTGACCATTTGTGCTTTGTTACATAGACTCTACCAATTAAAACAGCAAAAATATGAGCACCCATCTTGGGACCGAACACTTTAGAAGCATTGTAAGGTTCCAAAGATACACAAGGCCTAATCCTTCTGTCAAGCAGTTTACGCTCTAGATGCAGAGATGAGGCCAGCATGGGAAAAGTTAAATAGCAATGCAAAAAGGAAATACTAGAGCAAGGCCACAGTCTATAACATGACAGAAGGGGCACATGGCCACTAGGCAGCAAGAGCCCACAAATGGGGACATCCTGGTTGTGCTTGAGGGACAGTATATAGCCTAGTGTGACTAGAGCAGGGGTCACTTTCTGTGGACAGTGGACAATAAGGATAGACAGGTGCATCATTTCCAAAATTTTAAGGGCTCTATTATGCTAGGGTTTTTATTTTTAAAATATTTCACTTCTTCTTTTGAAATAATGAGCTAACAGTATACTAGCCCTGCTCAGACCCTGAATGCTGAAGTGTTTGTAGAAAAATGACCATTAGTTGAGATTTTCTTTTGAAAAATGGTCCTATTTATCATTAAACTCCAGTTCCCAGCTTCATCATTAGAGACAGTAGCTGCTCAGGTAATGGTGAAAATTTTATCTCAAGATAATAAAAACACACTGTTTTTTTATGTTTATGCTTGTAGGCTTTTTGGCTCTACAATTTCAACTATAACTTTTTAAATGATAATGTACAATTGACTATTGAAATTAGTGAATTGATTACTGATTACATTTAAGACTCTTTGTTCTTGATAGGTCTTAGAGTAGCATTTGTTTATCAACATTTACTCATTATAATACATTGATGATGCCTTATGCTAAGCTTCCTCTTTCACTCAGTAAAGGGAGAATTGGTAATCGTTTATTTGTATTGACAAATATAATACCTGAAATTAACAATAGAAAGCCCTTTCAATGATATCTAGGGTGTATACTTATTACTTTTTTTATTCCTGAAAGCACTAAAGCAATTTCTGGAATTTTTTATGTATTAGGTAAAAAAACAATGACCATAAATGTTCCTTTTAGGCCCCAGTTGATTTTCATAGGATTCTAATATTTTTAATTTCAGTTGTGAAATGTCACTACTTTTATACCAATTTTATCCACTCTCCAGCATGGATGCATTCACGTTCAACATTTTTATTTTAATGGTTTATAATAGCTGGCCACATTTTTAGAGCTAGCCATTTAAAATGAAAATTGGACTTGGCCATTACTGCATACTGTGACATCAGAGTTTCAACTCTGCTACATACAGGTGATAAGAAAAAACTTTTTGTTTAGCTAAATCTTCCAGTCCTGTGATTAAATGCACAAGTGGTAGAATGTAGTAGAACCCCAATTTACATCAAGATGATTTAGATTTTTTTTTCTTTGTTTAGGTCTTAATTATGTATTAATGACTGCAGCCTTTCCTCAACTTACAGAAAACACTGGGCTGTGGGCTCGTAGATGGGGCCATTACATGGTGTCTGGCTCAGGGTAGGGCCCCTCCTGCCTGCGTGGGAATCACTGTTGCTGAATGTGCTCACTTGGATTGGATCTGATTGTAGCAAATCACACTACGGCAAAGCAGCCATCTACACTTACCAAATATGACACGTGAGGTCAGCTTTAATCAGAGATCATTTGCACATAAAATTCTACAGGGAGGCCAGTCATTATTGAATAAGAAAGTTGTTTAAGAGATCTGTGTTTCTGTAGTTTATGAGTGTAGGGCTCATACATGATTGGAGGAAATGACCATGCCCTCCCTGTCCCTGTCCTGTGATTGGAGGAAATGACCACTCTCTCCCTCCCTGGCCCTGCCCTGTAATTGGAAGAAATGACCACAATAAAAGTGTTTTGTGAATGAGGCTGCCTGTTCTTTAAAAAAAAAAAAAAACAAATTTCCTTCTTCATTTGCTTCCTTAGGACTGTTAT